GGGCGGGGGGCGCCCCGGGGGGCGCCCCGCCGGGGGGCGCCCCGGGGGGCGCCCCGGCGGGGAGCGCTCAGGTGGAGGGCTCCGGGCCACGCCGCGGGCAGCTGCGCCGAGTGCGCCGAGGTGGCGGCTCCCGCTCTGGCAAAAGCACGCGCAGAGGTTTTGATATGTGGGGCGTAATTCGTAACCTGTTTGCGGAGTCGTGAGAGGCTGGAGGCTGCTGCAGTGGAGGTCATTAGAACCTCTTATCCTTACTTAGCATCAACTTTAGTTGGTTGTGCTGTGTATTCTTGTATGAAACGTTGGGGGTATTCAGGAATTCGCTGTTTATTTCTTTTTGATTATTAATAGTACTGTAAAGGCGGACTCCCAAGTGTGCGTATCTTTTTAAGAGCACCACCACATTTTCAGGGACAACTGGAGAAGGAAGAAGGCTTTAAGCATTTTCATCTCGTGAATGGGTGAACAATTCATTCAGTGAGCGCTGGCTCGGAGCTGCATGCGCTCTTAATCCGAGGTTGATCTGCTGGCTGTTTGAGCAAAGTTTGCTCCTCAGTTGTTTCTTGCATATGTGCAGCGAGGAGACTGCAGGTATTTTGCGGGGATTACTTATCCAGAAAGCGTCCTAAAAGAGAGCACATATAATACCAGCCCAGGTCGGTCTCACCTTAGGAAGCCTGGACGAGAAAGGTGGAGTGTTCGTCAAAATAAGTAATTCTAACATTGCTGACCCACCCAGCAAAGAGATTTAAGCATGCATTGTCAGATTTCCCCAAAAACCTTATAACTCAACAGAGAGAGAGAGAGAGAGAGAGAGAGAGAGAGAGATGCCCTCCCAAACATGCGTGTTTCTACATGTTACATTTTTTAAAATTCAGATTACCAGGAAGGATGCTGAAATTAATTAATCCTTTAATTTGCCGGTCAAATTCCATTATGCAGGGCCACAGCACATATTCTCTGTCCTGATGAAGCCAGGAAATTCTTGTGAATAAAAGAATTTCCCAGAAAACCCCGAATCCATCATGCACTAAAAAGGTGGACCATTTAAAACAAAGTTAATATCTCTGTATTCGTGATTTGCTTAGCAAATCCTGTCTTTTTTATTGCATCGTCAAGGGTGTTATTTACTTAATTATTTATTTAATTCAGAACTGTTCAGCCAAAAGCCTTCCAGTGCTTCTGGGCACGCATTTAGTTAGTAGTTTGGGATTTTAAGTCCATGAAAAGGGGAGTCTTCCTTCTGACGTGACAGGTTTTGTGAACTCGATAGTAGGACAGTGATGTCTCAAACAAGTACAGAGAAGCAAACACCAGGTAGTAAAGCGGTAATAGAAATCCCCCATCTCTGCTCACAGAGGCCTAGTGAGGAAAGGGAATGGCTGTTTTTATACTGGCTTTCAGTTGGCCACTGGTGCTTGATAAGAAGACTGCCACAACTACAATGCTTCAAAGTTCCTGCAGGCAAAACAGTTCCTCCTGGGGGCAATGCTTTCTTAGTCTCCAGTTTATTGTCTCAAAGAAACACCAACGCAGTTTTGAAAATGTCAAGAAATGGTTCTGCTTCCTTTAAGAATTAGATAAACAAAGACTCAGTGGCCAGTTAGTGCTCATTGCGGAAGATAAGTAAATCCAGTGTAGACATTTCTAAGCTGTCAAAATGCAAATGATGTATTAAATACTCTTTGCTCTACAGAATTCTAAATGTGGCTTTACTGGTTTTTCTACTGAGCTCACAGTGAGAATTAGTCACTGCAGCTTGCATACATGCAATTCAAGCTCCACTTTCCTTTTGAACTTTTGTATTTCTTTTGGTTTTATTCATTTTCCTCTAAGATAATTAAGAAGTTGCATGCATAATACTTGCACATAGTAGATGACAAAGATATATCTTATTTATTTTAATTTTATTTGGTTAACAATAAATCAGAAGAAGATATCTGAGTAAAGGTATAGATATTCTACAGTCTATAGCGTTTGTACCTTTGGGTTGCATGCTCATGTTAAAAGTCTGTTGGCACCTATGCCCGTATAGTAGAAACTTGGACTGCCAGAACAGAAGTGGTAGTGATAGCGTCAAATCAGTTCGACTTTGTGGTCCAGCTACTATAGTGACCAGACACAAATATTTTTTGAAACAGAAGGACTGGCTTGGATATGCGACGTGAGGCAAAGAAGTAGATGTTTGGCTATGCGGAAATGGAATTAG